GCGACGCGTAGTCCGGCAGTGGCAGGTGCAGCGCCTTTGACCAGAATGCGAGGAATGGCTTCTCGTCCTTCTTGGCCGCCAGCCACGGCTCCCGGCTGTTGCCGATGACCAGGACCCTGTCCCCCGGCTGCAGGGCCTTGACCTCCTGGGGGCGTGTCGCCGGGCGCACGTTTGGTGCATTTGGGGTTTCGAGCCGAATAGGGTTTTGCAAGTCGAGGGTTTCAAGGGTCTTGGGCCAGCCTTCGTTTGGGTGCGCGACGCAAGGGGCCCGCGCAGACGCGCAATCCGAGAAGGCGCCAGGAGCTGCATGCCCACCTCGTGGCGCCAGCGCCTAGGCCACGCGCCCACCAGCTGGCCGCGTGGCGCCAGCTGGTGGGCATGCCTTGCGTCAGCTCGCCCCTACCCCCCCCCCATCAACCTGCACCCGGCCCGATATGAAACAAAGGCGCTTCACCCAGGTTTAGGGTTCACCCGCAACCCTGAACCTCCAATCGCCACCCCACCTTTATCAGGTCCTTCTTGATGCGGCTGAACGGCTCCTGGGGTGTCAGGGTGGGGGGATGGATCACAACAGGGCAGACGTGCACGTGCATGATTGTCAGCCTTGGGGAACCCGCCCGCCAGCCGCACCGGCGCGGCACGGGCGCCCGGCTTGCATCAAACGGCAGTCGAGGGGCGCTGGGGGCGCGCCAGGGGCGGCGCGCAGAGCGCCGCCGGCGGGCGCTGCTTGCGGTGTCACCCTGTGCGGCGGACAGGTCGACGTCTGCAGCCGGGCCGCCCACCTGGCCCCCGAACTCCTTGGCCCTCTTCTTGTCGCTCACAAAGACCTTCTCGACCTCATCGATCAGGATCACGCTGGGGGCCATGGTGCGAGCCACCTTTTGAGGAGGGGAGAGCGGCGGCAGGGGCGGGGTCGGACCCGGTCAATCGCCTACGGCGGGGCGGTAACGCCGCGGCAGCAGGGATCAGTGGGTCCGTGACGCGTGTTCTCTGATGGGGACGTGCACGCACACACGCACACACGCACGCACGCGCGTGCACCAACACACACACACACACATACACACACGTCAACTCTGGTGCACCTTGAACACCATGTGTGCCAGCATGGCGACTGCTTTCCCGGGGTAGTGCCCGTCAATGTTGCGCGGCGACAGGTCAAACAGGTTGGCGCCACACATCGACGCCACCGCCTGTTGGTTCCGTTTTTTAGGTTCAGGCGACGAGGGACAGTGCCAATTTTGGCCGAGGGGCGGGGCGAATGGGAGCTCGGGCGGGGCTGGGGGTCGCGGCGGATGTTGCGGTGCGTCGTAGCCCGTGTGTGTGCGGGTGGCTCCAGCTCTGTGTCCCTTGTCTCAGGCGCGCGGCGAGCTGGGGCTCCGCTGATTGAAAGGGGCCGGCGCCCCCGGGACGGCTCGCCCCGCCTGGTTGCAACCGGGCGCCCGCCTCAGCGGCGTCCAGACAGGTGCATGGGCTCGCTGCCAGCGCTGCCGAGCGGTGGATTCCCACCCGCTCGGGGATGGAGGGCGAGTGGGGATGGGGTTTGGGGGTGTGGGGCTGGGAGTGGGGAGCCCGGGGCG